TCCTAAAACATCCTCTATTGACTCTACAATCTAGGACAATTCTTCAGATTTGTCACCTAAAAAGAATGGCTCAGGTGTGGAACTGCCTTGTCGTTCCTGAGTGAGTGCTCCGTTAGCACCTTGATCGTCCAGTGGCCCAAATGATTATTTGCAGGCCTCTGGCTGCTGATGTATTTCAACATATTTTGGCTGTTAGTTTTTGTGCCTTTTGCTAGTTGCTCTTCATATGTTTTTTTGGGCCGCCTAATTATACTTTTGCACTTGCCTTGCCAGAATTAATGCACCTTTCTATTTTCCTCACTATGATTTGACTTCCAATTTTTAAAGGATGACTTTTTGAGTCTACCTGCCTATTTTGATCTGCTGTTTAGCCATGGTGGCATTTTTTTGGTCCTCTTACTGTTGGGGGGAGGGGGGGGGGGCGGGAAGGGAAGGGGCAAATACATTTAGTTTGAGCCTCTATTATGGTGTATTAAATCGTTGCCATGCAGCTTGCAGGCATTTCACTCTTAGTACTATTCCTTTTAATTTACATTTAACTAGCTTCCTCATTTTTGTATCGTTCCCCCTTTTGAAGGTAAATGCTACTGTGGTGGATTTATTTGTTTCCTCCCCACAAGAATGTTAAATTTGATTATGTTATGGTTGCCATTACCAAGCAGTTCAGCTACACTTACCTCTTGGTGAGTATCCGAGGGGTAGCCGTGTTAGTCTGAATCTGTAAAAAGCAACAGAGGGTCCTGTGGCACCTTTGAGACTAACAGAAGTACTGGGAGCATATCTTGGTGAGTGTATCTGAATTTAGGCCTAAATCAAGAATTGCCTCTCCCCTTGTGGATTCCAGGACTAGCTGCTCCAAGAAGCAGTCATTAATGGAGTGTAGATATTTTATCCCTGCATCCCATTGTGAGATGACATATACCCAGTTAATATGGGGTAGTGGAAGTCCTCCATTATTACTGGGTTTTCCTCTCTAATCTCCCTGAGCATTTCACAATCACCGTCATCATCCGGGTTAAGTGGTCGGTAACATATTCCTACTGTTCTTACTATTCAAGCATGGAATTTCTATCCATAGAGATTCTATGGTACAGTTTGATTCATTGAAGATTTTTACTATATTTGACTCTGCTTTCTTTCACATATAGCACCGCCCCTCACCAGAACAGTCTATATATTCCTGTATATTATGTATCCTGGTATTACTGTGTCCCATTGATCATCATTTTCCCATCAAGTTTATGTAATACCTGTTATATCAATATCCTTATTTAATACTAGGCACTCAAATTCACCCCTGTTCATATTTGGACTTCTACCGTTTGTATACAAGCACTTATAAAATTTGTCAATATTTAGTTGTCTGCTTTCATGTGAGATAATTGAATGGGACTCTTTTTCATTGGACTGTTTCTCTTCAGTTCCTGCCTGTATTTTATCAACTTCTATCCTCTCTTCACTATGATATAGGATATAAATGCTCCCCACGGAATGTCTCTCTCTGAACCGTGTGCTCCTTCACACCTGTCGGCTTCCCCCAGCCCTTAGTTTAAAACTCCTCTATGACATTTTTAATTTTACATGCCAGCAATCTGCTTCCATTTTGGGTTAGGTCAAGTCCATCCTTCCTATATAGGCTCCTTCTTTCCTAAAGGTTTCCCAGTTCCAAATAAACCTAAATCCCTCTTCCCAACACCATCCTCTCATCCACCATTGAGACTTGCAGTTCTGCCTGTCTAACTAGCCCTGAACACAGAACTGGAAGCAATTCAGAGAATGCTCCTGTGTAGGTCCTGAACTTTAATCTCTTACCTAGAAGCCTAAATTTGGCCTCCAGCACCTCTCTTCCACCTTTCCCTATGTCATTGGTACCTACATGTACCATGGCCACTGGTTCCTTCCCGGCATGAATGGGCTGGAAAAAGTGTAATTTACCCATTCCCACAATACAAAAACCAGGCGTCACCCAATGAAATTAATAGGCAGCAGGTTTAATACAGATAAGAGTCAATACTTTTTCACACAATGAACAATTGACTTGTGGAACTCATGGCCAGAAGTATAACTGGGTTCCAAAAAGAACTCGATAAGTTCTTGGAGGATAGGCCCCTCAGTGGCCATCTGCCAAGATGGTCAGGGATGCAACCCCATGCTTGGGCAACCCTAAACCTCTGACTGTGAGGAGCAGGGAGGGGAAGACAGATGTGAGTCTTTCCAGTATTTTCCTGTTCTGTACATTGTCCCTGAGCTCAGGTACTGGCAACGGTCAGAGACAGGCTATTAGGCTAGATGGACCATTGGTCTGACCCAATATGGCCGTTCTTATGTTCTTAGAATCTGTTTCTGAATTGCTTGTGCTTTCAGGGAGATTGGCAGATGGAGGAGGAAGGTCAAGGGCTAGACCTGAAAAGTTTTTGAGGAAAAACATGATTCTTGATCTGGGATAACATCTTCAAAAGCGTCGAAGTCCCATTTTCAACAGTGACTTAGGCACTTTGAAGCCTAATGCTCATTGATAGTCAATAGGACTTAGACTCCTAAGTGACTTCTGAAAATGTGACTTACATTCCTAAGTTACTCAGGTGTTGCTGAAAATGTTACCTCTGATCTTGTTCTGTCAGCTTGTGTCAGGACATGGCTGAGGGGTCTTAAAGGGCTGTGACTGCCCCCCCAAATCACCACGAGGCCCGAAAGGGGCAGATGCCACTGCACTGGGGATGCAGGATAGTGATCTAGTACCCGCAACAGAGGCTTTTGTGGGTCACAAGCAGTGCGCCCATGGTCCAGACTGTTGGCCATCGCCCTCGATCCTAGTGTGTATTCGTAGGTATGAAAGTGCTGCACAAACCGATCACAAGGAAAGGATCTGAGAATAGGGTTGCCACGTGTCCAATTTTCAATTGGAACACCTGGTCAAAAAGGGACCCTGGTGGCTCTGGTCAGTACTGCTGACCAGGCTGTTAAATGTCCGGTTGGCAGTGCAGGAGGACTGGCAGGCTCCCTGCCCAGCTCCGTGAGGCTCCCAGAAGCGGCCAGCATGTCCAGCTCCTTGGTGGAGAGGGAACCATGGGGGCGTTGCATGCTGCCCCTGCTCCGAGCATTGGCTGGGAACCGCGAGTGATGGAGGGAGGGAGGATGGAGTCAGCGGGGCGGGGCCTTGGAGAAGGGGAGTGGGGCAGGGGGCAGGGCTAGGGTGTTTGGTTTTCTGCAATTAGAAAGTTGGCAACCCTACCTGTGACTAGGAGAGCGTTCGGTGCAGTACAGACAGCCACCTCCTGGTGCAGAGGCAGGAAGGGGCAGAGCTGATAGTACCAATGAAGGCTGCTCTCTTCATAACCTGCCTGACTGCAGCAAGGAGGAGGAGCTGCCCCACAAGCCCTGAGCCACGGAAACGTTGCTGGCTTTAACGTTTTGTGGCTGATTGACACGAGCGAACTGCCGGGCGTTCTACAGTGTCATCTTTTATAAAACCATATCATGGGTTTATAAAGGGTTCACTCCTTGGGGCAGGCCTGTCATTCTGTTCTGGGTCTGGCAGCTACCAGCCCAGTGGGACATGGGTCTTTAATTCTAGTCCCTAGGTGTTATCGCAGTACAAATAACTAATAATGCCAAGCCTCGTAGAGTGGGAAGCATTTCTGCTGTCTTGTGTTTGACACCGTAAGTGTTCATAGCAAGATGCGCTGCCCAGTTGATAAATTGGATGTAACTTCGAATCCCAGTGGAGCGATAGAACAAAAGTGTGCAGGAGGTTGGGGTTTGGGATGAGGGCTAGTCACTTATCACAGTAGTATCTGAGCACCTTCCAGTTGCACGTTAAACCACATGACATGCATCTATCACATGCCCATTCTCTCATCCCCTGAGAGGGAGAAGGGTGTGCGGTAGTGGGCTTTAGTTTGGAGTTTTTGTCTTACTAAATATATACCCGTGTGGCTAGACGTTGACATTAGAGAAGGCAAAGCCAAAACCATTCTCCTTGTACTGTGAGTGGAAGGTGGGGAGGGCTGGGACAGTCCTTAGTTCCTGGAGAAGTTAATTCCACCGCCTCGGACCAGCCCCTGAGAAAGCTCCGTCTCCCGCTCAGGCGAGCTTTACCCTTATTGTAGAGAGCTCCATTGGGCCAGAGGAGTACTGTGGTCCCCTGAAGCTCTATTGAAGGGTTGGGGAAGCAATAGGAGGAAGTGGAGGGGCTTATGTCAGCCCTGCTGATTGGGGGAGTGTGTCTGTCATTTGTGAAGTGGGGTCATAACTTAGAGGCCGTGTTAGAGCTTTGGCTACTAATGGATTCCCGGGGAGTAGCTGTGCTAAGAGTGTTTCTTCCAACTACGCCTGGCAAGATGAGGTGACCATTTCTTTTGGATGAAGAGACCACTGCCATTGTCCGTACCTTTTGAGCTCTACATTAGGCTGCTGTAACAGGCTCTTTGTGGGGCTGCCTCCTAAGGAAATGTGGAAACTGAAACTGGTGCTTAACATTGCTGCAGATGGTTTGGAGTGGAGCTTCATACAAGGGGATAGAACACGAAGCTCGGGGGTCTCAACAGGCCGCTCGATGCTTTACACCTGCAGATTGAGGAGCGGGTTTTTGACTCTAAAGCTCGGAGTGGTTTTGGACTCGGTTACCTGAGACTTTCCTCATGTGATCACGGTGGCATTGCAATCGACAGCCAAGCTGCAGCAGGAGTTCCCTGGCTTTCGATGCGGGGAGGTGGCTGGCAGGGCATGCTCAGCGAGGGCCCCTTGACTCTGGGGCTTGCTTCTCCTTTGCTGCACCAGATCTTTGTTAACCTTCCCCACAGGTTGCCAAGCCCGTCTCTTTCCCCAGGCCGCGAGGAGAAGGGGGGAGCCGAGAGCTCCTGGGACTGTGACTTTGGGCAGGCTATTAGTTAGAGGGGCAGTCTGTGTGGTTCTGTTTGTTGATGATATTTGAGAATGGGAATTGACTGTACAGTGGACTTGAGGGGGGGCCTGTTCTTCTA